GGAATGTGGTGAATCCACTCTTATTCCATTTATTCCTTTCTTATTCCTATCTGGTTTGGTTTCTATTATTGATAAACTCATGATCCGGCCAGCTGCCCAGAAGATTATTCTAATTTATTTATTGATCTATCTTTCTATGTGTACTTATATATTTCCTGTGAAAGGATTCTTTTCTATAGAAATGCCCTTGCGAGCGCTTGCCAAATTTTTTGTATTGATTACTTCTTTATATTTTTTAAATTGTTTTTCATGTCTAACTCTGCAGCTGGGTTTTATTACAGGAAAAGAAAAAGGTTCAAACGGATGGAGACCCCTATGGTGGTGCTGCTTTTTGTTGTTTGCGCCCAATAGGCAAATAAAGAAAGAAAATTTGGCTATTACGACAAGGTGCTGATTGAGGTACTGTTTCTTGCGGTTGTTTTTTGCGGTGGTGATGGGGGAGGTGATTGGGGAAATACTGGGCACAAAATGTGACGTGAAATCCTGAATTGCGTTTTCAGAATGTCTGGATGGTTGTCTCCCTGAGCTATAACAATTTCCTATATTGAAGAATAGTTATTTTTTATTTTTGTGCCTGCGACGTCTTTATGCTGACCTGAAGTTTCTTTTCTTATTTGCGGGTGTCGATAGGACGGTTTAAAATATGTTTATTGTTTTTGGGCATGTAGGATGTCTGGTGACTGTACTTTTTTTTGGGGAGTTTACATGAGAGGAATGGGGATTGAGCATTGTGGGATATGTGGTGAGTGCCGCAGGCTTGTTGGTCCGCGATTTGGGTGCCCTCCAAAATTCATGACATTTTGGGCTCCTCAACGAACTCTTTTATTCTTTATGGAATCATGTGCTATTACAAATGACACCCTGGACTGTTGTGTTTCGTCATCCTTTTTTTTTTTTTACGGGATGTATGAGAGCCTTGCATTTTGCGGCGAGAACTGCATTTGTTACTGTGCCATTGGTCTCTTTTTTTTCCTTTTGTTTTCATTCTTAGCCATTTTTTACTTTTGTTGCTTATTTTATTTCTGGTCATGTTGAGACTCCTGCGTGCTCCGTGCCTCCACTTCACTCACCAAATGGAGGTGTATGACCATTGCTTGGGAAGGAGTCTTTTTTTTGTTCAAATTTACACAGAACCATCATTGAGCAAATTTTTCTTTTTTACTTTTTTTCTTTCAGGAGATGCTTCCTTGGCTTTGCCTCCAACGGGATATGCACGGAGTTACGCGCATTTTAAAAAACGAAGCCACGAGCCTTTTTTTGGAAAGGGTGCTTTATCTTTCTTCTAAAATCTTTTTTTTTGTTCATGCTGATATATATATATATATACTTGTTTAGAGGTGGAACCTCTACTTGGTGACGATCCCGCGCATGGTTTTGGTGTTGGCCCGACCATGGCGGACTGTATCCACTGCGTCGGGGAAAGGCTTCTGGTGGATCCAACGACACGGTGGCTGGGGGGAAATAATAACGGGACGGACGTTATCCCTTTGATGGTGGTCCCGCTGATGCTCGATCTGATGGACTTTCGGAGGATGATGTGCAACATCAATGTGCCAATCCGGCTGTTGGTTTTGGTGCAGAACGGGCGGGAGGCGATGCTGTCGTTGTACCTGCAGGAACTCGAGAGGGTCTATGGGTGGTCCGGACGCCTGGTTGTGAGTCGTCATCCGGAAAACATCGGGTACAGCGCTGCCGTGAACATTGGGTTACGACTTGCACTCTCGCTGCCGCGCGAGGAAGTGCCTTTTGTTTTTGTAACGAACAGCGACGTAATGTTTTTACCCGATCTTCTTCCCAATCTTCTACGCGATGTACATGAAATGACGAGGCATGATGCCGCTTGCATGGATGAGTTGGCGGCGGAAATGGCGAATGAGCCGAGCGAGTACAGTCCTGTTTTGCGACGGGGCCTGAAGGTGCTGCACTCCACGGTGAAGGATAACCGATTGTCGACGTCTGCGCTGCTGCCTGACCGCATCTGTTATGCCTCTACAAAGGAGCGTGAAAAGGCGTTTTCGAAGCATTACGGGCACTTCTGCGCGTATTGCAAAAGCACTTGTTTTACATCTGTTATTTTGACACGCCTGGCGATCAGCACGGTGGGATATTTTGACGAGAGCTTTTACCCAGCTTACGTGGAGGATGTCGACTACAGCTTACGCCTCCGTTTGCTTGGATTTCAGGAGCGAAATGTCTCATACGGCAAATTTGTGCATCGCGGCAGCTCGAATATTCGTTTCTCTGAGCAACTGGAGCTACCGGACGCTCTCTGGTACCGTCGCGTCAAGTCTTTGATGACGAACCAACCATATGTCGTGATGAAGTGGAACGGTCTAAAAGCATGCTGCAATGGATACAAGGAGCCATATAACGGCATGGTCCCCCTAGACATTTGGGTGAAGGATGAGGCACGCATACAGCGCATTCGGGTCCACGGGCATGATGAGATCCAAAGAGTTCCAATTATTTACTACGACAGGACACTTTTCTACCCTTTCACGACGAAGGGAAGATGATTCGGCGACAAACACAAGTTTTGCTTTCTTATTTTGTTTTGCTTTAAGTTTTAAAAATTACACCTCTGTTTGGTTAGTTACACGAATAATATTTAAGCGAGTACGCAATGGGCTTTAAAGAGCGCAAGCATATATTTGACATGACAGGGGGAGGGTGCAGCGTCCAAACTTGGCCGTGTTGCCGAAGGTGGGAGAGGGCGGCAGCAAGCAGGAAACGTGAAGATAATGAATGAGGGAGAAATAAAAGGGGAGGGAAGCAGAAAAAAAGCCAAAAATATTGTGAGCACAACGCTGTTTCTCACCGTGGGCGATCGACGCCGCAATTGGATACTAATTTACCCACTGAAGGTGACACCCGTTTCCGCTGAATATGTTGCGTGCATATCTGTCGGGCTCTTTGTTTATTCTTTTGGTTTGTTTGTCTCCCGCACATTTATTTCTCCGTGCCGCCTGACTCGTTCTTTTATTATTCCCCTCTCTGTTTTTCTGCGTGCACCGAGAGAAGGGGCTCGGGGACATGAAGTACGCTCCCCTTCTGTGAAATGCCACCAAAAACAGGAGGAGGAAAAAAAGTGAAGCGGGGAGGGGAACCATCGCCACGCGTCCTTTTCTCCGAGAAGGCTGCTCGCCACGCCATTGAGGCGCGCCGTGTGCTTCACGAGGTCCGCTGGACTCGATTGGGGTGCCGTTAATGATGGTGCGTGAGAGTGTGGCGGATGCGTCTCCCAGGCGTCCCTAGAGGACCCTCTGGTCATTGGGACTGCGTGGAATGCGGGATTCCGCGGGGATATTTGGCCGTTTTGTTTTTCTTCCTCCATCGGCCTATCCCAAACCTCAACACGGCGGCTGAGCCAACGACTGCGACGGGATCCGTTGCGTATTTCTGAATCTTTTTTGCGTTGCAGCGGCAGGCCTGGTGCGTCCTGCTTGGCAGACACGGTGGACGGAAGTGGGCTGCCTTATCGGGAAAGCGATGGTCACGGCGGAGCGTTTTGCGTACTTCTCAATTTGGCGTGTTTTTGGCGAGTCTTGCGGATGATGTGACGGCGCCTCTTTTACTTGCGGGGAGAGAAGCGATGCTCCACGGTGATGCACACGTTGCGGGTGGAGGTTTCTCTTGCTGTTGGTTTGTGAACGTTTATTTTTTGCTTTTGCCGGAACACTACAGAGGGCGGTGTCTGCGGACAGCAGAGCATTGCGAGGAGGGGCATCGCACGATTTTTGGCGCGATGAGGCGGCTTCTGTGAATTTACGGTGTTTATTTTCAGGGTTGAGAGACTATTCTTTGTTGAAATGTATTGTGGGAGACCATCCGCGTGTTTTTTTTTTATTATTTATTTTCTTGGAATTTGGTGTCTGCCGTGAAACAGATGTTGATGGCCGTTTTGTGGCGGTGAGATGCATTTTTATTTATTTAATTGGCGAGTGTGTGAATTGTGTTGCGTTCTGCCATGCGGCTTGTTGCTGACGGCAAGTTGCTGCAGTGAGACGTTGTGGGCGCCTCCGATACGAGGTGCGATTGAGCAGTCATCTCCTCCGCTCGCCGGTACACGCTTTTGAGGCGGCGTGATGATAATGAATCGGCCTCTCAGAAAAGCAACAAGAGGACTTTTGCTCTTCCTGCTGCGGTGTTTGAGTGAACTCCCAATTCGTGGGCGGGGTTGCTCTGCGTGCCCTATTTCTTTGAATTCCATGAGTTTTGCACATGGCCATCCACACGCACATGCGCACAATCTCCCTGTTTGCCCTCCTGTGGGCGGGAGACCGGGATGCAAGGGGAAAATGTGGCCCGTGCCAGCATGTGACAAAGTCTTTCTTGGGAGGGATTGCGACTGTGATGTACGTCCTGGCAGGCTGGAATGGGATGAGAGGGGAGCGGAGGGGCGAGTAACAACGATCCTGTGCGAGGCAATGCGCAGTGAATAGGGCGAAGTGGTATTTATGTTGACTTTTCAAAACATTTTTGTCTTTTTCTTTTGTGGCAATGGAAAGAAACCTTGGGTGATTTTCTATGGATTATTTGCACATAATTGAGCGCGGCAACACCATTTGCGGAGAAAATGAATGACATCTGCGTGAGGCTTGCTTTGTGAGCGCGAGATGGTCGGGGAGGCGTTCAACGCCCCGAGAGGCCAGGAGAAAATGAACGTGCACTGCTGCAAGCAGAGGGATGCACGCTCCTGTTGGTGGTGTTGCTGTGGAGCCCTGAATGGCCTGCAGGGAAGTTGTTTCCGCCGCCTCATTATTTTGTTGATTGGTGCTTGCCGAGGCCTTTTGAGGCGGGACGTGGGATGCACCGAGAGAGCGAGTGTCGTGTGGCGGTGCTGTGAATTGATGCTGCCCACGTTTGTGCACATAATTCCTTTTGTGTCCGCGTTCTTGCTGCGGCAGTGCACCGGGAGCGTGTGGCTGATCACTGTATCACTTGCAGACTGTTTCGGCAGGACTTTGAATGGCGTCGCCGAATAATGAAACTCCGCTTGCATGTGTGTGTGTGTGTGTGTGTTGGCTTCCGCCGTGACTTGCCGTGTTGTTGTTGTTGCCGTTTTCTGTGTGCAATTGTTTTCCATGTTGTTCCTTCTGTGTTCTCTCGAGTCCCGCTCTCTGCGTGGGTGCTCTGCTCCGCTTCCCAGTGACGTGTCTGATGTATTGCCGCTGTTTCTGCCTTCTCCACTTCTTGGACACAGACACGCTAGGAAAGAAAGCAACCAAACGCAAATCGCTACTGTGAAATTCGAAGGCTCTGAAAGGACCAGCAGCACACAAAAACACCGCCCACACACAAATATTTATATGCTCTCACGTGTTGCTGCTGTCATGGCACCCCGCACACACAACCGTTGCCGCGTGACCGGATCCAGCGGAAGGAGGAGGGAAGGAAGAGAAGGTGAGCCGCCGAGGCCCAACATGTTCCGGCATCACTTCTGTTCTGCGGTGCTGCTCCTCTTTGTCGTGATGTGCTGCGGCAGTGGAGCTGCGGCCGCTGGCGGTAAAACAAGGAATGCCATTGATCCGTTTAAGGGGACGACGTCGATATCATTTGCTAATTGGAAGGAGTTTAAGGAGGCCGGAAGCAAAATCACCTCGCTCCGTGTTCCTGGCCTCGTTAAAGTGGGTGATGATGTATTTGCCGTGGCGGAAGCGCAGTGCGGGGAAAGGAATGGAGCCGACAGCTCTGCTTGGATTGTGTCAAAGCACCTGGATATAAGGGGTGACTCAATGGATATTTCGACGTCGGATATAAGTTTGTTTTGCATGCAGCTTGTGGACGCCGCCGCGAATAATTTTGGGACAACAGAAGTGTTGCGGCCAACTACAGTTGTAATTGAGGACAGCGTCTACATGCTGGTGGGGAAATATAGCCATAAAAAGGAGCAGATTCAAGGTACGAATGAGCCAGCCCTTTTACTCGTGAAGGGAACTGTCACGGTGGATGGTGGAAAGAAGAAAATAAGATGGAATGAGACCCATGTGGTGAACCCTCAAGGAAAAGGAAAATCTCTTTTCTTGACCAAGTTAATTGGCGGTGGAGGATCGGGTGCTGTGATGCGTGACGGCGCGCTTGTGTTTCCCATGCAGGCCAAAGAGGAGGATGGAACCAGCGTTTTGCTGTCTATGCGTCTCCCCAATTCAGGGAACAAATGGGAGCTCTCATCCGAGACGACTGGTAAGGACTGCAGGGATCCAACCCTGGTGAGGTGGGAAGAAAGCGAAGAAGACGAAAGACTCTTCATGATGGCTCATTGTGCTGGAGGCTACTATGACGTTTACAGGTCCATTTTGGATGGAGTCAATTGGTATGGGCACTTAAAACCAATTACCCGCGTGTGGGGCAACTCACATGATCGAGCAGGGTACGGTGTCCAGAGTGGATCCACCACCGCAATCATTGAGGGAAAGAAGGTGATGCTCATCACCGCGCCGGTGTATGCGAAGGACAATGAAGGTGGAAAAGGTCGGCTTCATCTTTGGGTGACGGACAAGGCTCGTGTGTATGATGTTGGGCCGATATCCCGTGGAGATGATGACGCCGCCGCCAGCTCTCTGCTGGTGAAGAGTGGGAAGGATAATAAGGAGGAGTTGATTTCACTGTACGAAAACAAGAAGGACGACGGATCATACAATCTTGTTGCTGTGCGTCTGACCGAGAAACTGGAGCGGATAAAGGAAGTTGTGAAGACATGGAAGGATTTGGACAGCGCCTTGAGAACATGCAGTTCCGTTTCCAGCGGCACTGTTGACGCGCGCAAAAAGGGTATGTGCAATGGTCGTGTTCCCACTGATGGGCTTGTTGGCTTTTTGTCTGGTAACATCTCTGAGAACACATGGAGAGACGAGTACCTCGGCGTGAATGCAAAAGTGACGAATGGGGAGCCAAGGGTTCCCAATGGATGGACGTTCAAAGGGTCCAGAGCAGGGGCGGTGTGGCCTGTTGGCGACATGGGGCAGACTGTGCCGTACTACTTTGCAAACAACAAGTTCACTCTTGTGGCGACGGTTTCCATCCACGAGGTGCCGCAGAGTGGCAGCATCCCTTTGATTGGCGTGAGGATGAATGACACCAGCAGCACGGTCCTCTTTGGTCTGTCGTACACCCATGAAAAGAAGTGGCTGGCCATAACAGAGGATGCTGCTGATCCGGAGGATGTTGTTGATATTGTTAAATGGGAGCCAAACAAGACGTATCAGGTGGTACTGAAAATGGATTATGATGAATGGACTGTCATTGTGGATAAAAAGGAAATCCACAACAAGAAATATGATAAGAACCTGTTCAACTCGCACAGGATCTCACACTTCTACATCGGTGGGGACAGTAAGGACCGAAGTGCAACGGGCGGCCATGTTACTGTGACTAACGTCATGCTGTACAACGAGGAACTGTTGAGAAATGATCTGCGTAAACTCAAAACCAGCAAAGTCACTATTCCATCACTGGGTGTTGAGGAACAGCCCACAGGACAGGTGGCTGGCACAGACGTCTCAGTTGCTTCCGAGTCAAGGAGTGAAGAAAGCGCCATCTATGAGGAATTGACTGAGGATGATACTGATGAACAAGAGGAAGAAAGCGTCGATGATCCGGTGCCTGCAGCGCCCTCTTCCACAGATGCCGCGGGATCGTCTGTTCCTGAACCCGCCACTGCAGCGGAGAGTGCAGGGAATTCTCTTCCAGAGAACAATGTCCAGCTTTTCGAAGGCGAAACGTCTCAGCAAGCCACGCCGCATGAAGACAATGAATCGATGCAGCGGGATTCGAAGGTGCAGACACAAGAACTACCGTCAGAGGAGCCAGCGGAGTTCACTGATTTTGAAGGATCCTCTGAAAGTTATGATACAGAACAGCCAGTGGAGGAGGAAGAAGCGAATGGCGGGAGTGGCGAATCAACGTCTCCAGTGACTGCGTCGTTGAGTGTGGAAACGGTCACCGCACCAGCTGACGGTGAGCACCAAGTGCGACAAAGCATTGAGCTTTCCGCTGAAAACAACGACGTGCGGTCCACTGGAACCAGAACCACCGGCACGGAGCGAAGCCTCAGCCTCGAGGCGGGGGACGGAAGTTCCGAGAGAACAATGGGCTCAGGCAGCAGCCCCACTCCTTCAAAGAGTGACGCCGAACCGACGTCCGCGGAGAACACCGACGACGTCTCTTGGACTGAAGGAGCCGAATTCTCTTTTGAAGACGGCAAGGAGGCGCCACAGCCGGTCGACACCGCACCGGGTAATACAAGCACAACGCCTGGGGAAACCAAGATCCCATCGGAGTCCAACGCAACAATACCCTCGGACACTGAAATTTTGCTTGAGCACGGGCATTTGGGCGAGTTGGCGGCCATGTATCTAATTGGTGACAGCACCGTGCAAGTGTGTGTGTCTCGGGTGTTGTTGCTGCTGCTTCTGGGGCTGTGGGGCACTGCGGCTCTCTGTTGAATGAATTGGGAAGAGCAAAGTTGCGAAATTCTGTGGAGCAACAAAGGAGCGGCATCCCAGCATTACCCACTGAATTTTTTAAATTCCACTTCCTTTTTTTTTTTTCCTTTTTTTTTTCCTTTTTTTTTTCCTTTTTTTTTCTTGTTCTTGTTATTGCTTTAATTATTTCCCTTATCTTGCTTGTTGCTTTAGGGCAACCACTAATGAAGTGATTTTTTTTTTCTACTCTTCCCTCTTTTCAATTGTTTCTTGCTGCACTCTTCCTGTGAGGGGTGCCGTGTGTTTCCCGCCCAACTGCTCCACTCGCACACCCACCGACACGCTCATGACGACGGCCCTGTGCGCCTCGCCTGCTGCACGCATGAGGAGGGGCCGCGACGAACGGCGCGCTGAGGGAGCCGTGACGTGTGGGCGTACGACGAGGGCCTGTGGGGCGGAGCACACATTTCTTTCCTCTTGTTTTTTTTTTATTGCGGCCAGGGCGGGCAGACACTCGCAGCGCCAGACACACAGCCACACCCTGCCGCCGTGTTTTTTTTTTTTGCTGCGCTCACTCTCCCGATGGAGAGACGCGACTCCCGTCGTGTCTGCGTGCTCCTCTCAGTCCCCACACACACACGAGTGACTGTGCTCTGCAGGCCGCACTTACGCTCCGATGAAAGGGCTGAGGGGAGCAGCAACACGCAGATGACCCCATGAAATATAAACGATGTGCGGACACATGGAGGGTCAGACGGTTGAAAGAGACTTAAATATCTTTTTAATTTTATTTTTGGACAAAATATGCAGACAATTTCTGGAGCAACATGGTATTTAGGTTCTTTTTTTGTGTTTGTGTTTTTTCTTTTTCAATTTTTTTTTTCATTATTATTATTTGTGTGTAGCCGTAATAGAGGACGACTTTTTTTCATTTTCATTTTTTTTCATTTTCTTTTTTTCTTCATTTTCATTTTTTTTCATTTTTTTCATTTTTTTCATTTTCTTTTTTTTTCATTTTTTTCATTTTTTTTATTTTTCTTTTTTTCAAAGTGTGAGGTGCGGAAGGGTGAAGATGAATTTTTTTTAATTTTAATAAATTTTTTATGAATTGCCGCTGCTTGGGTTGCAGTGCAATATCATGAGCTTGAGCAGCATTTTTCTCTTTATTTCTGCCATGCGCTTCTGCTGTACATTTTTTTTTGTGCGTCCCTTCACATGCTCTGCTCCTGTTTTTACTTCTTTGCTTCGTGTGTCTGCAGGCACACACAACCACATGCACACACAAAATGCAAATTGCAGTGGATTTGGATGCTTCTTTTGTAGCGGTTGCTGGCGGTTGCGGGTGGCTGCTGCTTCTTCCGTGGGCATGAAGGGAAGGAGGAGAGAAGGAGCGCGCACCGCGAGTCATTCTTTCCTGCGGGTGTGATGCGCGCGGTGGGCTGCGACTGCTGTGGAGGGCTGCATCCTTTCGGTGTGCGCTTCTCCGCCATTGTTCCGTGCGTTTGCGCATGTCATTTGTTATGCGCGTGCGTGCTGGGCATGTTTTTCCGGTGCGTTGAGTAGCCACCATCTGCCTATGGCGGCTTGTGTGAGTGAGCACCTGCGGATGAGGGTCAGGGCGTATGGAGTGAAGGAATGGCTTAAGGAAAGGGGAATTTGATTTGGAGGGTATTTGGACCGGATTCATTTGGCTGCGGTGGACACATGCACGACGGATGTGTTTCCGCATAATGGGAGAGGATGCGACAGGATTTTCCGAAGTGGCCCGTCAATGCAATTCGGGTTTCATAGCACTGGGGCACAGTGGTCTCCCTGCAATGGCTGGTGACGGACCCTAGTGGGCCGGTGTATTTATGCTGCTGCTGCTGCTGCTGCTGCTCGAGGAGGCGTAGAAGTTCGATTCGAGGTGAGCGGCGGAAGGGCCACACATCCCGCAGTGATGGTCGTCGTTGGCCCACCGGGTGCCTCTGAAGGTTTTGTTGGATGCAACGTCCTTATGCCCGTCTCTGGATGGCGGCATCCCTGATGCAGCCAACGAACGGGGCTGGGAGCGACGGTGAGACGCAAGCACGTGTGGATGTTCGGAGCGTCCGGCGCACCGCACGCTGAGAGCATGGCACGGCGAGGACCGGACCTAGAAAAGGGACACCGCGTGGGACGTCAGTCTTCACTGCAGCGTCCGCCACTGAATTTGGATTTGCTCGCACCTTCTGCGGTCCCTCTTCCTCCCCTCACTTCTGTGCCGAGGACTGTGCCGCGGGATCCAGCAGCGCGATGTTTGGCCGCAGGAACATGGCCCGAACAAATGATTTGTGGGAGGGGGATGTGCACTGCGGCGAAAAAGAAAAAAAATGTTGCGAGACGACCACCACCACATGACCGGCATTTGTATGGCGTACGCCCTTTGCAAGGCTGAGGGAAAGGGCGGGAATCCCCACTGGCATATGTCTGCAGTCAGAATGCGTAAATTGTGGACTTGTTTGTGCGGCAAGGCAGCAAGGTCGCTCAGGGGATGCAGCATAGACTGGGAGTGCACTTTCTAGCGGGGCGTGCTTGGTGACTACCGAGGCGATGCCCCCAAAGGGACGTATGTGGGTGGTGAAGATGCACTGGATATGGATATGCGCAATGCCATGCTTTGTGACAGGGAGCGAGGGAGGAGTAGCGTGATTCCTCCTGCCACGGACCCATCAACTTTTGAGGAGTTGGAGTGAGGCCAAGGGGACAAGCGTGTGTGTCTTCACCTTCTTGCGGGAGGGCGCGCAGACGTTGGATTTTTTTTGTTACTATGTTTTCACGGTGCCTGCGGTGACGTTAATGGGGAGTTTGTTCTCCAGAGGCATTCATTGTGCGATTTGTGCGTGTTTGGTGTCCAACGTTTTCAGCACCACCGAATGGGGTGTTGCGCAGGATTGGAATACATGGATGTGCGAGAGCATTGTGTCGCTCGCCCGTAATAACGCACACGCGCACAGTTTCAGCGCGTCTGATACGTCACGTTCTTCAGAACGGTCGAAATCACTTGTGGGACGTCACTTCATTTGCGGCCTCGGGAAAGTGAAGTAAATGGAGAGATATGCCGAGAACGCAATGCTCCTCCATAAGACCGCGGGCTGGCGGCGACAAGGATCAGAGAGCTTATACTTAACATTGAGAAGAGGGCAGCACTCTGATGATTCGGTTTGCTCGTTAGGAACTTCTAATGTAGTGCACACCGTGTGGGCCTTTTTGCTGCGGATATGCAGAAGGGTGATGTGGGGTGGAATTATTGTTGAAGGCAGCACGGACACCGCCTGACCTTTATTTGAGGGATGCGTGGTGTTATTCCGTGCTTCCTGGCCTGCGTTGTCGCACTCTTGCTGTGAGTGCGGATGGCCACAGTAGTGGAGCTGAATACGGTTCAATGTGTGTTGCTCACGGGGACTGCGCGACACGTGTTTTTTTTTGGGAGGCCCAAAGGAGGGGCGCATCGCCGTTGCGTGATTCCTGCGGCAGTTCATTACTCTGCGACTGTGCGTGCCGCCGTCCGCTGTGCCACTGCAAGCCTTCGCCTTTGTGAGAAATGGGGAGTGTGACTACTGTGGCGGTGGTCGAATGTTCCCGAATTGGCGCTTTTGGTGATTTCACTTGGAGTGCCGAGCAGCGAGGGGCCGCACACGCCCAGGAGGTGGGAGTGTGTGCTGCAACCGCACTTGCGATTTGCAGTTGGGATGTGACATGTTTCTTTGGTATTTTTATTTTTCGTGATATGCGGGGCAGCGGTGTGTTTGCGTGTGCGGGCTGCTCATGGCTGCGGGTGTTGTCTTTCCTGCTGTTCTCCCGCTCCACTCCTTTGCGTGCGACAGACCAAACGTTCTTACGGGCGTGTGGTGGGGTCGCGTTCTTGTTTGGAAAAAAACCTTTCGCAGGCATAATAATACTGCCGTCCGTGCCACACGAGGCAGTGGGGTATTTCCTGGGATTTATTGGCGGGGTGGCACCGCACCCATGCCGTGTGGTTGATTTGTATTCCGCAATGCACGGTGAGGGGGATGTGCGGTGACAACTTACTTCAGTGGAGCGACACGAGCAGCACGGGGAGTGCAACGGAGGAGTGGTGGCTGCGTGCTTCCAAGTGATACGTGAATGGCGAATTCAATATGAAAGGCAGCGTGACGGCACTCTTTTGCCATGCACACCGCAGATATTTTCCATAAAGCTTGTAAATTGCACTCTTTTCTGTTTTGTGTGGGATTACCGTGATGCATCGCTGTTGTGGCGTGTATGATTTGTGCTCCCTGCATGTGGCCGCTGCTTTACCGAATTCTCCTCCCACTTTTGTGTGCTTGTGTCAGGGTTTATGTGCCCACGTCCTCCTGGAGAGTGTGTGCGGTGACGGCGGTGCCACACGGGTGCGGGACTGTGGCGAGCGGAATGCGTGGGCGAACCCTCCGTGCGCACCACGTTGTTGTTGTTGGCTCTCTCCAACACTGTGCTGGGTGGTTGGTATCCACGTGCCGTCGTTGTGGTGGTCCTCGTGCATGTGGTGTGCATCGAATACTGTGCTGTCACACTGTGTGGGTGAGTCTCTTGTTGTGGCTTCGATTCATGACTGTGCCTATTGTCTTTCTTTTCCTCATTCCCCTTTTTTGTTTGGTGGCTATTGTTTAGATCTAACTCAAACCAACTAAGAAAGCAAGGAGAAACGATGTCTGGAAGACCCGAGGAAGGAATTTACGGCAATTTGGAGAGTCAATCGTCCAATGTCTCGCAGGGAGGTTGGAGGAGAGCGAGGTCGCAATTTGAGAGTGAAACAGATTACTCCTCTGTGAGTCGCAGAAGATTGGAGGGAATGCATCGACCGCAGTGGACCATGAGCAGCAGCGTGGAGGACATTCTGCTGGAGGGAAGCACTCTCAGGAACAACATGAAGCTGAATGAATTCCTTCGGAGCAACTTTGGCGAGGAGTGGGTTGTGGAAAGAAATGGGAACGTGACGATGGAGGCGTTTGTTCAGGAGCCGGATGCTTACGTACAAGACCAGCAGTTTCTTAGAAGAATTGTTAACTTAACTGCGTACCAAGCGCTGGGGGCTATTTATAAGCTTCATCACGAGGGTGTGTACTCTCTCAGACAATGGAGGGGCTTTAAAAGCAAGAATACGGTCACTCCTCTTGCAAAGGGAAAACTAAACGCAGTTCTCACTCAGGTACAGATAGAAGAAAAACGTGAGGCGGAAGAAAAACGTAAGGCGGAAGAAAAACGTAAGGCGGAAGAAAAGCGGGAGGCAGAAGAAAGATTAAGGCGTGAGGAGGATGAAAGGCAAAGACGAGCGCAAGAAATGAAATTTACCATTTCCACTACGATCGAAGAAGTACTGTTTAAAGGAGGAGTCCGCGTCAAGGAAAAGAAGCTGAACGATTTTCTTTACGATGGATTGGACGGCAGGGGCGT